AAGGCAGTCGCTTAACCAACTGAGCCACCCAGGCGCCCCTGTCTTTTAATTTTTGATGTTGAATTTATTGAACCTGTTGTAGCAAATCTGAGATCATAGTCACTATGAATTAAATCCCACAACTTAAAAAAAAAATTTGACAAATTAGCAATCATGAACTACACAAATTCAAATTTGAGTGGTCATGTAAAATTAACAACACATGCAATGATATATGTGTACACAACAATACTTACATTAGCTGAAAACAATTTTGAGTTGGAGACAAAGGGCTCTCTAAAAACTTTTATAATTAAATTTAGTTCCCTTATGTACTGTCGAATTTCTGCCATAAATGCTTTTACCAAATCATAATAAGTTTGCTCTCCTGAGGTGGAAGGCTCTTCATCAGTTAAAGATAATATATTTATATCTTCTACATCTTGATGAAACATGTCCATTAATACCTAGACAGAGATATAAAACAAGTACAATAAAATATGAATTACAGTCGAAGTTACACACCCTAAGTTGCTCTTTGAATACAGTTCTTAAGTGATAAAAAGCAGATACACAATAATCTCTTCTCGCCACTGCCCCCTGTGTATCTTCTCTAAAACAGAATTCTCCATCTAATATCCAAACTGCCTCCTCCAAGTCCTCTACCAATACCAGCATCTGTCTCTCTTGTTAACCTATTACTTCAAGTTTGTTCCCAAATTCTATGTTGGATTTCTCTCTGACTTAAGTTTCCTGCTTCACACCTTGCCATTACCACCTCACCTCATTCCAAGGCCTCACCACCCTGTATCTGAATAATTCACAGTCTGCTAATTGGCCCTCTTGATTACATTTGTGGGAGACTGATCAAAACCAGTCATTATTATTAAAGAAGTCTACTATTCAAAGAAGTCTACTATTATTACTCTTGCTAAAACCTCATCTTTCCACTTCTGTAAATTTCTACATCACTATACCTATAACACAGTGAAATAATATTTTATCTTAGATTACTTTCTGCTTGTTTCACAAATATAAGTTTTCCTTCATCTAGAGACTTTTTTCTTTTTTAAGATTTTACTTATTTATTTGAGAAAGAGAGAGCACGAGCAGGTGGTGGGGCAGAGGAAAAGGGAGGAGGCTTCCTGCTAATCAGGGAGCTGGACAGCTCAATTCCAGGACCCCAGGATCACGACCAGAGCGGAAGGCAGATGCTTAATGGACTGAGCCACCCAGGTGCCCCTGGAGCCTTGTTTTATACTTCTTTTGCATCTCCTCCCTGTGGTGAGCTCACAGTATGTACTCAAAAATATTTTACTTATCTGATTTATTTAAAAGTATCAAAAAAACTATTTTAAAAACCAAATACTTCTTCATTTAAAAATATCAATACATTTGAAATCCTTCCTCAGATCAGGTGATTTTTACTCTGTATGTTCACATTCTGAAAGAACAAATAAGCACTAGAACATAATTAAGTGGACTTAGTAATCAGAAAGAATATTACAAATCAGTAAGAGTATAGTGAGAAAAAAAAAAGGATTGAAATGCTTCATCAGAAAATAGTTTCTTTTCTACAAAGTCATTTTTAGAAAATGAGAATATCGAGGCAATCTAGTGCAATAACTAAAAGCTTTAGACCCAGATCTAAGAGTCTAGGCTTTGAAACTTCTCAGAAAATTCTGGACCAATTTCTTTATCTCTCTGAACTTCAGTTTCCCTTTTATAAGAGCATCTACCTTGGGGGTACCATAAAGACCAAATGAGATAAATTTCATATATGCTTAACTTTCGATAAATGTTTGCTCTTAATATCATTATAATAAAACCATACAAGTAGTAGCTACAGATAGTTAAGTATTGAAATAAAACTCTCAAGAGTTTAGTATTTTTACATTTTCAAAATTTGTTTTAAAAATCCATGATCTTGGGGCGCTTGGGTGGCTCAGTCATTAAGTCTGCCTTCGGCTCAAGTCATGATCCCAGGGTCCTGGGATTAAGCCCCGCATCGGGCTCCCTGCTTGGCGGGAAGCCTGCTTCTCCCTCTCCTGCTCCCCCTGCTTGTGTTCCCTCTCTCGCTGTGTCTCTCTTTGTGATATAAATAAATAAAATCTTAAAAAAAAAAAAATCCATAATCTTCTAATTGTCCCAACCGAAATAATTTAAAGAATTTTACAAACAAGAGATTATTACTAGTATTAAACCCACTTGCAGGAACACATAAAAGGAAAACTGCATGACATGTTTAGACAGTTTAGTACTATATATATATAATATTCTATTTCCATAAAATGTTATCTTGAGTACTTGCTATTAGGTTACTGGAAATATATAATTTTATTGTCTGAATAGTATGTTAGCATCCAATAAATCAGGAATAAAAATTTAAGAACAAAACATAGAGAAGATCAGTATCCTACCTTATCAGCACACATTGCCACTTTAATATCTTGTTTTGTAATTTCATAATGCCGTATATTTCGTACATAATTCCCCACCAGCTTTAAAATGTCTGCAGAAATGTATTCTAATACAGCTACTATGTAAACAGAAACCTGGTGGTCAATTTTATAACCTAGGACCTCCTGAAAAATTAAAAGAAAAACATGTTTAAAAATAATTTACTACAAATTTCACACACTGATTAAAAATAAAAAAGCATACACAATTTAGCTTAACTTTTACTGAGGCCTGTGACTATCAACAACATTTAATTGTAAGTGGAATAATACACACATTGCTATCCGGAAATGTAAGCAAAGCAAAGGTAAGGCAAAATTACCCATGATCATGTAAAATACTTAAGTAGTACAGATTACTAAATAGATCATCCTTAACCTAGGAAGGGAAGCCCCAGCTTGGGTGAGGGGAGAAATGTTTACTTTACTTAATTCAGGATACCTGGAATTAACTATAACAAAAGACGTTTTTTCTTTATGCAGAACAAAAGTTAATGTATTATTGGTATCTGGGAATATCTACTAGCCTTATTTTACTCTATTCTTCTTTCCAAAGGAACCTGGGATCCCAAAGCCCTAATGGCACATTCCTGGTATCTATAACTGTTTCTATGGGGAAAAAAGAATCATGCTATGTTCTACTGAACAACAGTGGTTATTAAGAGCATGTTAAATAGTATTATTAGACTTCAAAGGAAGTATGGGATTTTGTGGGGCCTATAGGAAAACAAATTCTATTTTCTAAACAATCGGATTAAAAAAAAAACTTTGAAATAAGAAATTTACTTAAGTTGGGGACAGTTGGTATTTACCTTTAAAGACATGTAAAACTATTAAATGGTTATAGTGATAAGAATATATTAATAAATTGAAATGATATCCATAATTAGATCATAAAATTCAAAGTTTAGGATCATTATTAATACAGAATGCACATACCTCAATTTGTTAATTCTCTTAAAATATAATTCAATATACGGCTAGTAAGAATCATGAAAAGAGAATTATAAAGAAGTATGCAATTACTAATAGTTTAGTAATTTTCTATAACTTGCACTTACTTCCTCAGACCAGTAAGATATAGGCAGATATTTCTATTCCAAAACCAAAGTACAAAACATAACCTTTGGACTGTCTTAAACATCATCCAAGTGTTAATCTTAAATCTTGGACAAGATCAAATAGATCTAAGTTCTCTAACACTATCACTTTGAGCCCTGTGAACATGGACTAAAAGTCACTTAATCACTTTCTGCCTCAGGCACCTCTTCTACAAACTGGGGATGAGAATAGTAACTTTGTGGAGTAATAAAACTTAGAGATAATGTATGCAAGCATTAGTATTTTGCTTGTATTACAGTACATAGAAAATTATTGATATCAAAAGTATTATTAAGGTTTTAATTACTATAGTACCTGTATTTTTGATGAGTTTGTTTGTTTTATTAAATAAATAGAAATAGCATTATTAGAGTTTCCAGCAATTATTTTTTTCTACTAGTTCTGGAGAGATTCGGCTGACCGATTTAAATGAGAAGTAGGACTGGGTAGTTTAGGTAACCTTTAGAAAGTTTTTGTTCAAAGATTACACATAGCCCTGTGGCAGACTCACAGAGGTCCCTACACATCTAATGATTTGAAGGATTTATAGGGACACTTAGGTCTAACCAACAAGAAAGGAGTTTTATAAATTCTCTTTGAGGTTCTAGTAACACCTGTGATGAACAAAATTCACAATTATAACTTTTCTTAGTCCTTTCAATTTGCGTATTTTTGTTGGTATGAAATTACTTTAAATCATGTTGCCCAACTTATACTTGGCTATTATATCATCCCTCCCCATGACATGAATTCCTGGAAAAATTAAAATGAGAGAATTTTACTCTTCAATTCACTATCACCCATAAAATATATTCTTAGTGTTTGAAAATCATAGGTTTTATTTTGCTTTTCAAAGGCAAGAAGGCAGTATTTCAGCTTTACCTTTAGTAAAGGATGAATTTTTTCTACTGGGAGAGATAAAGGGTTTCTTCGCTTCCTCTTTTCAATAGCCGATTGGGCATCAGCTATTGCCCACTTATCAATTGGATGAGGGAAACTTTTTTGAACACGTTCCTTGGAAAATAGGAAAATAACAACTAAGCAACAAATATATTAAATAGTGCTCTTCACTTACAATTTACTTTTAAAATCAAAGAATCCCCAAAGCAGGCTTTTCACATATGGTATAATTTATACTGCAAACATACTTAAGCTAAGAGAAAACTATAGCTGTCAATGTATTAGTATCTTAATTAGACAAGTAAGAGACTAAACATCCCTTGTAATATCTAGGGGGAAAATCACATTCTGAATTTCAACTTCACTGTGATAAAGCTAATGACAAGAATGATTAGAATAACCATTGCTTATATAAAATCTCAAGGAACAAGACCTAAGCTCGAGAAGCAAATATCTAAATCCAATTCTCCTTCATTTGTCCTTTCAACACCAATCACAACCTCAAGGAGCATTTTACACTTGAAACCTCTAAGAATTTTTTTTCTTTACTTCATTCATCATGCAAGAGTACCTGACTTCAAAACTATTTACACATCATGGAAATCAAGGGTTTACATTGGTAACAGTAATTTTTATACACTGTAGCTCATCATTAGAGTTTGAATCCTTCATAGATCATTAATTTTTAACAAAATACTTCACTTTAATTTCTAGCACTTATTCGATCAGAATTTCCACTGAAACTGAAGGAACTCATGTTAATATAAAAGCTAAATTTCCCTACTTTAATACACTAATGAAATTCACTTCAAACCATTCTCTCAAGTTTTAGAATTCCACTTTCAGGATACTATAGTTATAACCAGTAGAGGTCGCTATTAACATAATTTAAACACATGTATAGAGCTAGTAGTATGTAAAAACTGCTAGATAAAATTAAACATCACTCCTGATTATAAGCCTAAATAAAAACTTTTGTCAGCTGTTATTAAAATGGAAAATAAGAAAGACTGCCATGTGATACTCTGGGGGGAAAACATGCTGATTCTAGGACACGTTAAGTACAAATTTATAAAGTGAGAATAGTTTAACCCATTCAAGTTAAAGAAATTTTCTCTTCATCTACATTTAAGGCTAAATCAGCTGCCAAACATAAGAAGTGATTGTTTCAATTCTAATTAATGGAATTAGAGGTGTGCTGAAAGAAATTATTGTAGTTACAAATGGAGTTTACAAACTTTTTGAAATGCCCAGTTGAAAAGCTATTTGCCAGGACACTATACCTTCACATAATACAGGCAATACAGAGGTCCAAAATATTGGGGGGAGTTTGGCAGGTGAAAAGGAGAAAAGGGAAGGGAGATAGGGTGGAAAGAACAACCAAAACAAAAATGCTTTCCTTTTCCCCAGGAAATGACTTGCTAATCTAAAAATAACTAAGAGATTAGGACTAACTTGACTGGCTTCTAATTAAAATTTTCAGTGATGGGTTTAACCTGTGGTTAATTAAATGGGTAGAACCATAGTACAAACCTTATAATGGGATGGCCCCGTGGGTTGCTAATTTTTTTTTCCCTCAACTCACAGTAAGAAAAATAAATTCTTAGTACATTTCACATTACATCCTTAAACATCATACACATACTAAACTGGAATAAAGTTCATAAAACAGAACCTGCCCTTATTATATGCAATGCATTGATATTTTCTACTCATGTAAAAAATGTTAGTTGGGCAAAGCACTAAAGTGATTTTATGACTCACTAATGGGTCATAACCTAGAGTCTTAAAAAGCACTGGTGTAGAGGGGTGAAAGAAAAGCAGAAGAGAAGAAAAGCTGAACTCAATATGACAACTCTAAATATACTGAACATCTATCTTTGGGGAGAAAAAAGTCATTGGTGGAATCACAGAGGCCAACTGGAGACAGGGGTGGAGGTGGAAGAAAACACAACAGCGGTCCCTTCCTGTCTCAGTTCTATCCACCTAACTCCAGGTTTATCTATTGTCTTGAGAAAGAAGGGGAAAGAAAATCAGGAGTGATAAAAGAAGACAAGAAAGGGAAAATAATATTGATGAAAGATACATTTTAAACTTCCTTATTAGTGTATTACTGGAATCAAATTACCAACTATATAGGTAGGAGGTAATAACCAGGGTCAGAATGTATGGGAGAAGACTGGTAGGGTTAAAAAAAAAAAAAAAAAAAAAAGAGAGAGAGAGAGAAAAGGTGCCCCGAATGTGAAAAGGCCAAGTTGAAAGAATTACTTTACCTCTTGGGTGGCAAATTTAATAGAGCAAAATAAATTTTTATGATTATTTTATGTATTTTTAAAGATTTTTAAAAAGCCCAAGGAGGAATGATCAATGAAAGGTTCATGAATTAGAATTCTATTACTCTGCTACTTCAAGATTAATAATTTCATGTGTTTGAAATGAGAAATTCCATCTTCACTAATATCTAGTGGCTTTGGGAAAAATTTGAGATACAGAGCTAGGTTTGAGATTCAGTGGTCTCTTATTAGCAGAATCCTGTCTTTTCCTTTACATAATAAAAGGGTCTAAATAGATACCCTTGCAGATCACTTCCAATACAAATATTCTAGGACCTGTGAAAATTCCCACACACGTACTTCAGTGCAAATATTCAGACCCACAGGTATTTTGAAGTCCTATTAATAGTAATAAAGGCATACTGTGGGAGAATTTGGGGAGGAGGATCCTAGAAAGGTAGAAAATAGAAATTACTTGGGAAATCTAAATGTTAATAGAACACTTATTAGAAATTATAAGGATTCTTTAGGATGTGAAGGAAAAGAAGTTAACAAAAAAAATGAATGGAAAAGTAAAGCAAACTTCTTAAATTTTAGAATATAGCTCATAGAAAAAAAATCTAATTAGTCCAAGAAAGCCACAGAGAAAGAGGGAAAGAACACGTACAATTATGAAAGGTTAAGACCTAAAAAATTAAAGAAAAAAAAAAGAAATTAAATAAAATACACTTTACCAGGGACATGGAAAAAATATTATTTTTTGCTTCTATTTTTAAAAAGATTAATTACAGAAAATGAAGAGAGGGAGAATAAACCAGACTGGAGCAACTTTATACCTATCTTCTAAATACTAAATTATTTTGAAAAGACAGAAACAAATACATACCCCTCCTCTATATTCCCAGAGCACTCGTATAAATGCTTCTTTATTCATCTCAAACACTGCCTGACAGATGGTAGATACTCAAATATTGGTGGCAGGGATTAGTGAATTTTGGCTACATCAATAAAACGAAATCCTTTTCATTTGGACTACGATAGTTCACAATCTGTGATTATCTGTAGTACAATTTATCAAAACTCTTAATTAACACAAGCAAGATTATAGATGTATATATAATCCATCAGTTTTCAAGCACTTTTGAAGTGTTTATTTTCCTAAAACTATAGGGCAACTAAAACTCACTTTTAGTTTTTCATTAAAACAAATCCCCTTGGGGCCAAATATTAAGCAAGAATTGCTATTCTACTTTGAATTATGTTTATACTTTAAAGTAATCAAAATGTATTATTTAAAAGATTAAAAATTTATATATTGCACTAATTCAGATTGATCTTTTTAATTTTTTTATTTTTATTTTTTTATTTTTTTAAAGATTTTATTTATTTATTTGACAGAGAGATATAGCGAGAGCAGGAACACAAGCAGGGGGAGTGGAAGAGGGAGAAGCAGGCCTCCCGCCGAGCAGGGAGCCCGATGCAGACTCGATCCCAGGACCCTGGGATCATGACCTGAGCCAAAGGCAGATGCTTAACGACTGAGCCACCCAGGCGCCCCAGATTGATCTTTTTTAAGTACAGTTTTTAATATGGCCCTCAAATTTTTAAAAAAATTTTGATGAATTATCTCTTACCTCAAAATTTATTTGAAGGCCTTACAAAATTCATGACCCTTATTATTTTAAAAGAAAGTTCTATAAATGTATTAAAGAAATTAAATAAATGTATTAAAGAAATAAAGAATCCTAATGAATGAGAAAATGAAAAATTATTTTCTGATGAAAGAATTTAAGACACCATTATATTCACTTAAATATCTCTGCATGTCCATAGTCTTGTATAAATACCCTTCCAGGAATGGCACAAGAAGGGTATTTGACTACTGAATGTAAAAGACCCAGGTTTCCACCTTTTTTTAAAATCTATTCTACCATTCTGAGGGTTGTCTAACATAAAATAAGGAGAATACTAACTATTCTACAGGGTTGTTGTAAAGACATATATATGTACGTAACAGTACTCTGAAATTACAATGCCTATTGCATGACTGACTGCTATTCTGTCTGATTCTATCACTGTCACATATTTTCTTTCCCGACCATTCCCAATCCCAAAGCCAGTTCACTGGTATATCACATGACTACATCTATTTTAAGGGTCCAGATTAAGTGCTTAAAAATAACAAGATAGGGTATAGGGTAAACATATGTCTTCAGTATCTCAGTTTTCTGAGTACTAAGAAGCTATGAAATTTCCTTTATTATTTAGTCTTGAGGACCTACATATTGGTTAAATTTGCACAAGGGAAAGACTGAGAGACTCAGTGATTTTCAAGAATTCATGGAGATTTCCTTCAATATTGGAAAATTATATATTAATTTCTACATTAGTTAAAAGGAGGAAATTACACAAACATAGGTATACAGTACAAGCTATCTAGAAAGAGCTGAATTTGAGTTTGTAATGTTACCAACCAGCAAATTCCTGGAATGTCATCTAACGTCAGAATGATAAGCAAGATGAGATCTGTAACCCTGTTCTCATACAGCAGGCACAAGGGTGAGTGTTGCATGTCACAAACACTGTGGGAGAACCTAACTAGGATCCAAAAGAGCAACTGGAACTGGAACTGTTCATGAGAAGAGTCAGGCAACCAGTTCTATTCAAGATCTACTCTGAATCCCAATGTAATTATGTGCCTATAGGAAATCATGAATACAAGATAGCTAACCTTATAACTCAATGGGAAAAATGGGATAAAAATGTATGAAACCAACTTTGAATTACTTAAGAAATCAAAGTGAATTACTATTCTGTTGCACACAATCTTTTCTACATCCA